CATGGTGCTCCTTTCATTATTCTATTTCCACAGTTGTATTTGTAGATCTACATGTTGATAGTTTGCCAATTCGTATTATGAAATCTTTTGATACAGGCGGTTACGAAAATGAGATTTGACCAGTAGCACATGCTTGAACTCTTTTCCTCATTTTTCATACATTATCTGTCTACAAAAGAAATAATAACAAAAGGGTGTGGGTGGGGATATGAATATTTGATGCTCTTCCCGACACCCACACCCTTCTCATCGGACAACATGCGTATAATATCGTGAAGAATCCATCCGAAAGACTGATGTTACTCTTTTACTAAGTAAGACTAAAACAAATTTCAAGAAAACTTCGATCTAAACATAGATTTTAGAAAAAAAAAACTAGGTGACAACAACAGTGACCAACTGTGACTTAAGTAGACAGGTGAACCTTGGCAAACTATACTATCATTCCTTTTCGATAAACAAGGGTTATATTGAACAGATAAGCACTCAGAACTTACAAAATACTGGTCAATACGAATGAAGCAATAAAGCTACAAGGAAAGTCTTGACAACTATAGAGATTGCAGCATAGTAGCGAGACAACTTCGTGTTAACAGTGAAATAATATTGTCTTTTGTTGGCGAAACTTTATCACGTCTCTGAACAGGACTAAATTACTTTTCTAACCGACGCCAAAACGTTCGGTCCCTCTTATGTCTAGTATCGACATAGAACCTTCCCCCTCATCATTATTCTAAAAGAAACATATTTACTACACTTAGTTGAAAGGTATTTACGTCAAATGCATCAACATTAATGACAAAAACTTTGATTTCACTCTGTCAAAATCAAACTTTCACTTTTTTTGACTGAATCAGACATTAGGAATAACCTGAAAATACTGTAGTTTAGTATATTGTATGTGCATACATCTCGAAATTCGATCATGCACATAATTTCTCACATTCTAAATGATATAGTCTTCTGATCTCTCAAAAATAAAGCAATATGAAAACACAGACATGAGAGTCAGAAAATTAATTGATATATTTTGAATGCCATTTGTGGGTGGCACCGTTCCAGGTTTTGTTGTAATAGCCTCAGCTGCCCGTATTGCTGATGAAAGAGCACCCTCAACCCATCCGTGAACAAAGCTGGTATATTCGCCAATGAAATGAATGTTCGAAATCGGTACTTCTAACTTTTCAACAAGTTCAGTCTCTTGAAATGGAGTTAAAAACGCATAAGCTCCACGTACATAAGGATCTTGACACCAATTTTTCACTTTACCACCTTGAAAATAGTTGCGCATATCCGATGAATTTCTATGAATTTTTATCAATTGCTGTAATGCTAATTCGATAGCATCGGATTCAGAAAGTGATTGCCATATTATCGAATCTTGTGAGGATGTGTATGAAGCAAGAAGAGTTCCACCATCCGTTTGGTTAATCGTCGTTTTTGGATAATAAATAGAACGAACAGGCAAATCAGTTATTGATGAGCCTCCTCGAATATTTTCTCGGGTGAACCACCATGATGTGTTGAAAAAGAGAAGAATTTTCGAGGAGCAAGTGTAGTGTATTTGACGCAAGGCCAAATATTTCGCAATAAAATCTCTGCGCGGTTCAAAATCGAAGAATTGACTGACAGTTGGCGATGTTGCTACGACTACTGCATCGAAGATTTGACTCATGCCATTGTTTGTTCTCAATCGAGTCTGATTCGATGGTAACAATTCTACTTGATTGATAGGAGTCGAATAGAGAATTGAACATCGATTTGATTGCATTATTTGACAATCATTGACCATCGATCGTACCAATTGATCACTCCCTTCCGTAATTTGGTACATCTTACTATCATCACTACTGGGAAGATCGATACTGCGGATGCGTTCCACAATAGATGTCCAAAGATTCGTCTCACTATTGCCAGAAATTGCTATATAGTCAATAGCTGCACGCGACAGATTCATTCTGTTTAAATAAGAATCGAGTGAATACGAATCCCATTCCTTTACAACTGCTGACCAACCTCCTTCTGAGAATGTTTGGTAAACAGCCTGAAGAGCATCGGACAACAATTGATTAGGAGTCTAAAATGCTTGCTGTCCTGAGATAGTTACGTTTGAATGAAATTTCTATCTCACCTTTCCCCGTTCACTTGAACTAGTGTTGAATTGAAACATGTCTGGATTTTCACGTGCTTGTTTGTTTGTAGCCAAAATTCCGTTAATGTATGTAAATGCATTGTCATCACCACCAGGAAATTCAGTAATAGTCAATTTGTACCGTTCTCGGATCAGTTTACTCAAATAGGGATGAGCACCGAGGGGAAAGCGCATAGCACCCAATTCTCCGATGTATTTCGATGGATTTTTCGGATCTCGATAAGTCAGAATACGACCACCAGCTCGATCAGTTGCCTCAAAAATCGTCACTGTGTGACCTGCTTCAGCCAGTAGAATGCCACAATACAAACCTGCGGCACCTGGTCGTAAATAAATGACAAAAAAAGAAAAGATTACACTTAAGTGAAATGAAAAACGATTTCGTTTGGAATAATCGGAAAAGAAATTGGACAAGTTTTCTTCGTTTAATTCAATTTCATGTGATATTAAGTAGTATTACTGACATATTTGAATATTGTTGATACATGTCGACACACTTTGTCGACACATAAGGTGCGTTTAGTTCAAAAATCAAACAAAACTTATTTCTCTTCATTTACATATGCTTAGGTAGCACTCAAAAAGCTCTACAAAACTGTATGTAGAAAGAAATTTTGAAATGCCCTTTTTGACTTAAAATATCGAAAAAACTTGCCACTTTCAAAGCAATTCGCGTTTAGGACAACACTTCCTGTTTCACAAGCTTGAAAGAGTTCTTTCGAATACAGTGTCTAAAGCTGTATCTAACGAAATGAATTTGAAAATAATGTGAGATTGTTAAAATATTTCTAGAATCCTGGACTGTTAAGCGTCTTTGACCGTTTCAGGCATTAGACAGTTGCTGTTTCCTTTACTCTAGATATTATTCACTCAAATAGAATGAATTTGCGGTTTGTACTTTTCTCTAGCAAATGTGACATTTCTCAGCTCAAACGATGTAAGCGACTTCTCGCTTCTCTTGAGTGATATGTCTTTTAGATACCATTTATCTCCATTCCGTTCCTCC